TCTTTTCCAACCACTGTGATTCTGTGATCATTTCGGCATCACTTGAAGCACTGAGGAATGTGCATCTCTGAGCTCTCACTGCACCAGGGATGGAGCGAAGCTGTGGTCTCTGTTCACCCCCTGAGCATGGATCCTGATCCTCTGTCCTTCTTTCCTCTTGGCTGTCCTTTTGCTAGGATAGATTCCTGGAGCTCTTCTACATGTACGACGAAGACGGTTACCAGTCCTACTGCACCGTCTGCTGCGAAGGGAAGGAGCTGCTGCTCTGCAGCAATTCCAGCTGCTGCAGGTGGGTCCTGCTTGTCCCCGTCTCTGCTCCTCCAGCTGAGCTCCCAGCAGAGCTCCTGGGGAGCCCAAGGGAAGCGTGGCTGTGTGTGAGCCTGGGCAGGGTGCTGTGCTGGTCCCCAGCTGGCTGCCATGCAGCACGTCCCAACGCAGCCTACCTGTCCCTGCTGAGCAAGCCCTGGAGAGGTTGGCAGGAACTTTACCCGTCCCTGGGTCACCAGCTTGTGTGTTAGCAGCCCTACAAATCTGGATACTGCATGGAAAAACATCCTGCAGAGTGGGGTGGGGGCTCTGGTGCATGGCAGGGGAGACTCCAGGAGGGACTGGGGTGACTCAGAGGGGTTTCTGGAGGTGATGGGCACGAGGTGTTGTGGTTTGGGCAGGTGCTTCTGTGTGGAGTGTCTGGAGGTGCTGGTGGGGCGAGGGACATCAACCAAGGCAAAAGAGCAGGAGCCCTGGAACTGCTACATGTGCCAGCCCCAGAGGAGCTATGGGGTGCTACAGCGCCGGCAGGACTGGAACCCCCGCCTGCAGGACTTCTTCACCAGCGACAAGGGACAGAAATACGTAAGGGCTGCGGGCAGGCGAGCCCAGGGCACTGGGCTTGGGTGGAGAAGACTGTGGGGGGCAGGGAGAACGGCTCAAAATCCCTCAGTCCTCTGCCTTGGTCTCATTCTTGAAGCCTCTTGGAGCATGCCAGGCTCTTGGCTCCACAGATGCTCCCCTGAGGGCGATGCCTGTGGATGCCTGTGTGCTCCCCTGAGGGTGATGCCTGTGGAGCCAAGGTTTGGCCCTGTAGAGCGTCACAGCACTGCCCAGAGCTGGGACTTCATTGCTGTCCTTTCATTGCAGGCTGCACCCAAAATCTACCCAACGGTCCCACCAGCGGAGAGGAGACCTATTCGAGTGCTCTCTTTATTTGATGGCATTGCAACAGGTGAGGCACTGGAAGATCACCGGCCAGGGTGATGCCTGTGGAGCCAAGGTTTGGCCCTGTAGAGCGTCACAGCACTGCCCAGAGCTGGGACTTCATTGCTGTCCTTTCATTGCAGGCTGCACCCAAAATCTACCCAACGGTCCCACCAGCGGAGAGGAGACCTATTCGAGTGCTCTCTTTATTTGATGGCATTGCAACAGGTGAGGCACTGGAAGATCACCGGCCTGGTGTCTTGCAGCACTGGCTGCTGGGGATGAATAGTTTCATGACCTCAAACCTGTCTCTGAAAGCTTGGTGGGGAGAAGGGGAGGAAGGGCAGGGGGATCCCCATCAGAAGAGGATGAAGGCAGAGGCTTCTCTTCCCACCAGACAGGCCTGTGGAGGAGGGAGGGATGGAGGGGAGGGTGTGGGAATGTTGCTCACAGAGGTTCTTGCTGTCTTGGGGTGGCTGATTGCACTGAGCAGCAAGGTAATCTGGCCTCTGGGGAAGAAGTGCCTGAAGGCAACGGGTTTGACTCTGGAGTTCTGCTTTCTGGGAGCAAACCTGCCTGGAGGAAAGGGTAAAAAAAATAGTTTTCTCATCTGGAAGTCCTGTGTGACTGCACCCACCTAGGAAACGCAGGAGAGGCCGCATCGAACTTCTGTGCCGACGAAGGAGACTGGGAGACTAAAGAGAGCAGAGCGACCTCAGACCTCTGTCCCTTGGCAGGGTATTTGGTGCTGAAGGACTTGGGCATCCAAGTGGAGAAGTACATCGCCTCAGAGATCTGTGAAGAACCCATTGCTGTGGGCACCATGCGGCATGAGGGCAACATCACCTACGTGCACGATGTCAGGAACATAACCAAGAGAAACGTGAGGATCGCTTCTGCGGGAGGGCTGGGGAACATGGTGCCATGGCCATGGGGGGTCTGGTCCCACCAGCCCCCTGCCCTGCTGGGGAGGAGAGACCCGCTTATGTGGCATCTCCTAACTGGGTCTGTCTGTTCGCTCTAGATCGAGGAGTGGGGTCCCTTTGACCTGGTGATCGGTGGAAGCCCCTGTAACGACCTCTCCCTCGTTAATCCTGCCAGGAAGTCGCTGTATGGTAAGGCTGCTTTGCCTCTGCCAGGCTGGGTGCCCCCGGGGTGCTCCTGGGGTGCAGAGACACCTTAAAGTCCAGGGAAGTGGTTCAGCCCCAGTCTGTGTTGGTAGTGGGTCCCCTCTGAGCTGCAAACCACAGGGTGGCCCCATGCCAGGCCCCCCGGACCTTTGCCCTCCATGCCACAGCCGGTCCCAACCCGTCACTCTGCCTTTCTCCCTCGCAGAAGGAACTGGGAGGCTGTTCTTTGAATTTTACCACCTGCTCAACTACGCCCGTCCCAAGGTGGGAGAGGAGCGTCCCTTCTTCTGGATGTTTGAGAACGTGGTGGCCATGAGGGTCAATGACAAGAGGGACATTTCTCGGTTTCTGGAGGTAGGAATTGCTGCCAGCTTCGGGGAAGGCGTGGGAGCAGGAGAGGCTTGCTGGGTTGTGCAAGGTGTGCTGAGGCTGTGACGGTCTGGTGGTGGCTTCGTATGGTCCCTGATGCCAGGAATCAAGGTTTTGGTCTTGGCTCTGGATCCCCTCTGGCTTTCAGCAGGTTAACCCTGAGCACTGGTTCTCCAGGGGAAGGTTTTTGCTAGTCTTGCAGAAAGCATCTGTTCAGAGCAATGCCCGTTATTTCCAGGGGGAGGGAGGTTGGGGACTGGGAAGGATTTTT